CGTTGGCTGGTATGTTTCGTCAATGGGATCTGATGGACTGCCGCATCTACATACCAGAAAGTGAAGCCCACGGCCACCAAAACCAGCAGTAAAAGTCTGCTCCAAATCATTGTTGGAGAACTAAACGTCGCAAAAATTAGAGTTTACTGGATGAGTGAATAGCTGATGACTCAAAAATGAAAAAAGTCGTTACAAGCTATGCACACAGAACAAGATGTGTTTGATACTTTCATGGTCCCACACCACACCTTAAATGCTCGTAATTTCTCTACTCGTTACAACTGGGTTGGCTCTTCCATCGAAGTAATCTTATAGTGTGGTATTGTTATCAGCAATTTGAAAGTGCAAGCATAATGTGGTGATCATTTTCGAATATTCTTAGTAATGCCAGTTATTTAAGCAGCCTAAAGCATACCCATATACTGATAAGGTTTTGAGAATGAATCAGAATGCATTTTTGCAAATGGATTCAGTTCTAACTTGAATGTGTGCATCGCATGCTCATTGTGCGAGTGGAATGCTCGCAGTGATATGATTAAGAGAGCACCAATAACAATAATACGTCTTGTTTACAGTTTTTCGTAGGTCCACATTTCTCCATAGAACAGCGAAAAAATTTTAGGGTATTGAAATAGCAATTTGCTATAGCGACGAACAAGAAGGTGAAATGCGATGAAATTATGTGGAATATTTGCCTGTCATAGATCATTAAATTATCANCTTCCCGTAAATGTTTGAGGTATCGCAATTGATGACAATAACAATGATTGTTCTTTTGCTTATATCTTAGTGCATATCGCACTAATCCCCCTTCCTTCCTTACCTATCCAGTTTGTTATAAATCATATCCGTTGCACAGGTCTAATATCATTGCTCCAACAATGTGTATTAGCTGATGATGGCATTTCAATGCTGAAACGTCCGATGGCTTTGCGATCACGGCGCATTATTTCGTTAAATTGTTTATTACTTTTTTACTTCGCTGTTGTCTTAGTCGTTGTTCAGAAATGCGTATCGCAGCGCACACTCATCCATGGCTACTATTAGTTGTTGTTCTAAAGGTGCCAATTCTGCCTGCTTATTGGTTGGTGCTCTTAACTAAATTATTTGTTAATTCTCAGACGGGCGAATATTTCTCCCTAATTCTGCTGCTTGCCGTTTTGCCAGCTCGCTACTTCAATGCCGTAAAGCTTGCTCGCTGTTCTATGGCTGAACATAAGCATTGGAAAAGCTGTAAACGAGGCATATTATTGCTATGAATGTCCTCTTAACCATATCACTAGGAGCATTTCACTCAGGAAAGGAGCAAATGATGCAACCGTTTAAGTTATCAATGAATCGTTCACAAGATTGATTCTTCCATAAAAGTGCAAC